CATGACGATTTATTTCGCAGTTGGATCAAAGATGGTCGACTGGCAGGCATCTTGTTTGTTTTCTTTATGCGGTATCTTGGACGTGCTCTGTCAGTTTTCATTCAACTTTGGCACATACATATACTTTATACATGTTAGTATGCATGTCCATGACAATTTGTTTCAAAATCTTGTCAAAGCTGGCCGATTGACAGCCATCTGACTTTTTGGCCTTACTACTATATTTCCACAATTTATGTACCATTTTTATTCGTATTTGGCACATACATCATACATATCAGTGTGTTTCATAATCAGATCAAAGATGGCCGAATAACGGCTGTTTTAATTTTTGGCCATATTACTGCTACACAGAACACGTGTTTTGATGTAAATAAACAATCTGTAGTATACGCCACTTGGAACTCAAGTTTCAAGAACACACTCACGACAACCCCTCCGCTTTAATATGACGAGCACAAAGAGAACTTTCAAACATTTAACAGGGACTGTGGCATTTTCAATGACTTATTTATTTATTTATTTATTTATTTGTTTGTTTGTTTGTTTGTTTGTTTGTTTGTTTGTTTTGAATCAGTAGCTCACTATTTGGATAAATAAATAGCTGCATAAATTACAAATCAAATGTGGCTTTACATAACAAATGAAATATTACAATTAGAAAAAATAATACAAAAAAAGAAATTTGAGTCAAATGTTAACTTAAAGATAAAACATCAAATGATGTATTTGGTTAGTCTGAAAACTTTTTTGTCTGAACTTTATGGCAGTGATTAGGATTTGTTTTCCAATTAGTCAATGGCTGTACAAATGTCATTAATATAGAGTTGGGTTATGATGCATTTACAGAAAAGTCACAGTTACCTTCCCAATCTAATTACAGTTACATGTTGATTTGAGAATGTGCTCTTACTAATCAAAATATTGTCTCTCTTAGGCTTTGACACCAGCAATGAAAAGACAAGCCCCAAACTATGTGTTGGACCCAATGAAATTCTTTGTATCTCGAGTGAAATCCAATTTACACATCGTACTGTGTCTGCCACCTACAGATAAATTATTACAAATAGCTCCAAGGTAAGACATATTACATGAGATGGGAGAGTGGCATTCATTTATTATGTAAAATCTGTATAAGGAGTTGCATCCATTTATTTTGCACAATTGAGACCCTAAAATTTACTGTTTCTAATATGTGTAGCTGCTCTAATAGAAGCTACATCTCCTCTGTTGCATTGTACTATTTTATAGATTTTACAGTACTTTTGCTGGATATCTGGTACCCGACTAGAGTTTTTACTCTAAATAGTAGAAATAATGTTTCCTTGTAGGGGAACCTTAGCGTACATTTTATAAATGTGCCTCTGTATTGTTTGTATTACAGTTAAAAAAACTTAAAGTTGTAATTTTGATATTCATTCTACACAGAAAAAGACTGACTGTCTTATCAAATGTGCCACCATCATGATATTTTCTCATCAGTGTATTTTTATAATTTCTTGCAGTCAATACCCTGGCCTATTCACTGGTATGCAAATGAATTGGATGTGTGACTGGACACAACATGCTCTGCTAACAAATGCACAATACTATGTTTATAAAAACCACATTGCTAAGGAATGTGGTGATGATATGAGGTAAATTTAAATAAAACACTATTAACATCTGTATTTCTAATTGAGTTGAGGAATTACTGATGAAAGTAAAAGAAACCATTGTTATCTATATCAGTAATCACAATAGATTAATTGCTGATTTCTGTCTCTTATAATACATTAGTCTAAATACATTACACCATTAATACTTTGGTTGATGCACTTAATCTATTCATTTATTTTGTTTCAGGGACAACCTTGTTGGATGTTTATCTGATATTCATAGCTTTGTATTGAAAGACTGTAAACAGATACCCTGGGCTGGAAATACAGATGATAACATAACTGTCTCCTCAGTCAAGGTTGTAGGAAAGAAAGAAATTATCAAAGTACAAACCACTGAAGTACCTAATTTACCTTACACTAAAAGTATTATGCATGAACACATACAGGTAAGAAACTGTAATACACTTTTATATGCATATTAAAAATTAATTAAGTACAGGGTGTAGATAATTGGTGAACACAGTATATGGGTAAATGTTTTTGTTGATTACTTAAGATCATATATAGAATAGAATATTTTATTTGACTCAAAAATTGTAAGAAATTAAGTTTATGGCCAAATAAGAAACAAAAGAACAAACACTGTCACAGACATCAATAATAAATAAAACAAGAACAAATTTAACAATTACCATTGATTTCTAAGATTTTATCTATACAAACTAGACTGTTGGCAATGATGTAACTATCTTTTCAACTCAACAGCTCCTCTCAAATTCTCCATCAAACATAAAATTGGCACCTAGCACTTTCCATCTCTTGGTTACTGTAATCTGAGCGAGCATGCATCTCATTGCCAACAGCTAAATCATCACATAGCATGCATGACTTTTTCTTATATGTTATATGTAACAAACTATATTATCCCAATATCAAGCTTGTGAAGCACTCAAGTGCAAATTACAATAACTTGTTTCTACATTATTGCGCTGTTAATCTGAATGTCAACAATCATGTCAATTATGAATAATTCTGAGGTCTATATGTATTTGTAACTCTATGTATGAGTTGGATCACTGGTCTACCACTATGTCACAAAGTGATAAACCATCGCAGAGAATATAATCCAGGTATATGATTTGTCTGTACTGAACTAGGCAATAACAATCTAACTTACTGGAAATCCTTATGTATTTCAAATGAATATTCCATCTGACAAGTAAAATAACAAATTTGATTTCAAGCAGTAAAAATTGAATTATCTCCATGAGGGCAGTGTTTAATACTGTATATTGCATTATTATTTCTTTCAATAGTTGAGACATAAAAATTCTCAAAACCATGGAAGAAATGATGTCTTTGTTGGCCCCAAAACTTTCCGGCGATTCATGGATTGTTTTCGCTACATCTTCGACACTAAGAGTGCAGAGAATTCATCCAGCATTGCACAGCTTAAAAAAGCACTAAGGTGTTTAGAGAAAACAAGACAGGATGCAAAAACCAAGCACACTGATATCAAGAAATTACAGAGCGACTATGAGACGGCTACCGCTAAGACAGCTGAGTTGTTGAGACAACTGACCCTCAAAGCGACAGAGTTGGAGAAAGTGAAAGCTCAGTTTGGTTTCTCGTCTGGCACTCTCACTGCATTCCTTCAGTTGAATGAGATTGAAAGCGAAGAAGATGAGGTAGATGAATTGCTAGCAGCTGGTAAGTTACACTCAATTTGGGCTTTACCTGGTCAATATGGTACTTGCTGGAGCTTTTTGGTTTTTCAATACTCCAGGGATAGTGAAACTGAAACTACCATAAACAGCGTCCGGATTACTTTCGGAATTTCCGTCGCGTTTCGGAAAGTTTTAATTTTCAAAACTTTTGAATATTTATTTGTGCTTTTAGGTTAGTGAGAAGGTTATAATAATTCTTCATTTCAATTTAACACTGTTTTTACACCCCTCAGACCCCTTTAAAAAGTCACTTCTGGCCATTATAATGG